AGTATATTTTAAAGATAATTTTGATAAAATTATTGATTAAATGAACATTTATTTATAGAAAATTTATTATTCTATAAAATAATTTATTAAAATTTTATTAGTAAAATTAATTTAATTAAATTAGGATTTAAAAATTTTTTTTAGTTTTGATTTACTAACCAAATAAAGCTGGAATTGTTGAATTTAAATGGTTTAATTATTGATTGAGGAATCTAATTTGTTTATGAAGATAAATTAAAATAGGTGAATTAAAATATTTATTAATATTAATTTTAATCATTTTTTTTGAAAATATTATTAAATCAATTGCATATATTCTTAACTCAATTTTGAATCGTAACTTTATTTTATTTGTCCATTAATTGAGCTAAAAGAAGGCTTTAATTTTCTATATAGTATCGGGTCATATGGAAATGTATTGATGTAAAAAAGTTTTACTGAAGTAAATTGTTATGATTTCTTAAATAGCTAACAACATCAAAAAAATCTAATTAGGACTTACTTTTCAGTTAGCATAAGAAATGAAGCAAAATAAATTAATAGGTAAATAATTACAATGTTTGTAGAATAACATTAAAGAATAATTTGCAATATTCAAATTTTGAGAGTAATTTGAGTATAAATGTAAAGAAAAATGATATCATTAGACTAACATACATTATTCAAAAGATTACTAAATATTTCTCATCTATTTTAATATATTTCAATCTCATTATTAAATTTCTTTTATCTGTGATGCGATCTATATTTTTTATTTTAATTTAACTGAGTTAAGAGAATGGTTCGAAATAATAAGCTTATATAAGTAAAATTATAATACTAGAGTGAAATAGGAAAAAGTACTGATTCTAATATTACTTATACTCTCCTGCTCGAATTCCATAATTGTGTATTAAAATTTCAATAGTATTTCATCAATAAATGGTACAAGTAATATTTACTTATAGATTGGGGTTTAGAAACATATTAGTGTTTATGCGGTTGTTTAGCTACAATATCAATGTGCAATACCTAATAAATACTTAAAATAAATCAATGCAATTTGAATGACTATAGTTTATTGATTTACAAAACTTTTGAGTTAAATCCCCATAATGCAATAAGTCTTTTATTTTAGTTTTGGAGGTATTTATAATTCCATAATTTAGAATTGATGATTGGAATAATTATTAATTTTATGTTTATGCTGATTACTAAATTATTCACTAAGCTACTTATTCTCATAGTTTAAGTTAAAATAACTTATGCGAGGATAATGCTGTAAAAGATGAGACTTTCTTAATATCTAAAACATTAGAGCATTCAAGTCCAACTGTTACAATAATGTTTGTTGCTTAACGTGGAGTTTGGGGAATTTCAAATTTTGAGTTATCTATTGAGTAATGCCCTACAGGATGCAATTTTTGTTACAATGCAAAATGTTATGATTATTAGTTAATTATTGAATAGTTTGTTTAGAAAACAATTACTACTGTAAGTAATTCAGAGGGTTGGTCATATAATAATTTAGTTTCAATATCTGCATCTTATTGTATAGGTAATATTATCAATAAAGTAGATTATTTTTTTACTTATGTTTCCGGAACTTATTTAGAAAAAGTAATTTAATTAGATAATCACTAAACTATAAGCATTTAATTGAAAGTTATTATTAGAAATTCAAGTCCAACAGAAATTAAAGTAAAAATTGATGACAATATTGTATATAAAACTCAGTATAATGAAGGATGGACATAATATCCTTCTGGGTTATGTTAATATATATCATTAAATTCTATTTTAATAATGGATTATATTCATTCAAGTTCATCAATAAAGATTACTGTTGAAGGTAATAGTTTTGTGTAATTGATTGGAATTAGAGATTTTCAATTATATATAAATAAAAATAGCAATAATAAGATATGTATGGATAACAATATAAATGCTTTCGATGGTTGTTTTGCCTTTGAATATGATTGTGTAGAAGGCTGTAAGAATTGTATATAAGGTCTTTGTTTTGATTGCTAGATTGGATGGGAATTTAGAATAATATAATTAGATTGTGTTCCTATTTGTGGAGATTAGATAATCACTAATTTAGAAGAATGTGATGATGGTAATACTATCCCTTATGATGGTTGTCATTAATGTTCTTATTCATGTCCATTAAATTGCTTATAATGTAGATTTGGATATTGTTTATAATGTGATTCTTAATTTCGATTGTCTTTGAATAAAAAATAATGTATATCTATTTGTAATAATGGTCTAATTACTCCATTTAAGTATTTCAATAATTACAATAATATTTAATAAGATGAATGTTATAACTATAATAACAGCTGTTAAATAGAATGTTAGTTTTGCAATTATAATTAATGTATACTTTGTTAAGAAGGATGGATATTAATGGATAATAAATGTTATTAGTAATGTGGAGATGGAAAAGTAGCTTTATCATCAATAGAATAATGTGATGATGATAATCAAATAGAAAATGATGGATGTTTTCAATGTTAATATGAATGTATTCCTAATTGTTTTTATTGTATTGATAATAATAATTGTTTTATTTGCAATGATTATTTTTAACTTGAAGATAATTTATGTAAACCTATATGTGGAGATGGTATAGTTATTAATGGATTAGAAGATTGTGATGATGAAAATAATGATCCTTCAGATGGATGTAATTAATGTTAATTCTAATGTTCTTATGGTTGTATCACTTGTGAAAAAGAAAACATATGTAGTTAATGTGATAATCTTAGTATTTTAGATAATAAAACTATGCAATGCATACAACTATAATTAGAAGAATAAGAATTAAATTAAGAAATTATAATTTAAAGTAATAATATAAGTGATCAAAATCTTATACAATTGTGTGGAGATGGAATAATCAATTCTTAGAATGAATAATGTGATGATGGGAATAATATTCCTTTTGATGGATGTTCTAATTAATGTTAAATAGAAAAAGAATGGAGTTGTTAAAATAAACTAACACATAGTGAATGCTTTATTCTTACTTCTTTTACTTTAACATTATAAAATAATAAAAATTCAATCTAATATGTTTCATTATCTTTTACTAATAAAGTTCGTTTAAAAGAGTATACAACATCTTTTGTAGATAATATCAGATATTTTATTTAAAACATTCCTTCACAATAATACAGTATTAAAGTTAATGAAGTAATCTCAATAGATCAATTTAAATTACTTTATCCAATCTATGAATTTGAAATATAGTTTTATTAATCATAGGTTGATTAACCAATATTAAAAGTATCCATTAATGAAAATTTATTAGATTTAAATGATTTTTAATTAGATACCAAATCAAAAAGTATAAATTTATAAATTCCAAGAATTTTGACTGAGTTTCAAATTGCAACAGCTATCAAACTATATACATGTTCATTTTGGATGACTATTGGATTAGGCTCTGGTAGTTTTATCCTTTTAATCCTTGGAGATATTGGATCTTTTACTGAAATATTTGATATTCTTTAATATCAGTCATATTTGAAATATATAAATGTAGATTTCCCTCATAATGTTGTAATTTATTTTGAATCATCTGAAATTGTAACTATAGAACCTGTTTTAAATGCTTTAAAAATAACTTAATTTTTTGATAAATTAATTGGTGATAATCATATTAATAGTGTTAATAAACTTTATGAATATAATTTAAATGCAGATCTTTTAATTAATATTTATGGTTAAATTACTCAACTAATAATTTGTATAATAATCTATATATTCCTTAATTATTTTAGTAAATATATTTAAAATAATTGTTTTACTCAATCATTATTATAAACCAAACAAACTTAAAACAATAAATAGATTGAATGGATAATAATTAAGAGTTATTTTCTTCTCAAAAAGTTGTCAAAAATTGGATCTTCTTTTTTGAATTCTAAAGGAATTTTATAAATATTTTATGCAAATAGTTGGGATTTGATTTTTAAAGTACTCAATTATTTAGTTTCAAATAAAAAAGAAGAAATAAGGATCATTATTTCCAATATAATAAGTATTATTTGCTTAATAATTGTGAGTGTAATATTAATCACATATTTTTAACGAAAGAACTTTATGATTACATTAAAAGATTTAAGATTTTAATAACTTGATGCTCTTAACTTATTTAAAAAACTTATTTTTCTGGTAATCTTAATATGCATTTAAAATCAACCTATTTTTCAATGTGTTATGCTTACATCTTTAATCCTTTGTTATATTGGTTTAATAAAATTAATTAAATTTACATCATCAAATGATGTTAATTTTATCATTTGGTTTGAAGCTCCTGTAATGGCTTTTACTTTTATCAGTTTAGCCTATTGTCATGAATTACAAAAATATTTAACTACAGATATCTATTTCTTATTAGGTTTTATATAAATAGGCATTTTAATTTTTGGTTTATTAGGACCCTTAATAAAATTTGGAATATAATTTTATCATAATGCCAAAAAATTATTCCGACAGAATAAACCCATAGAGCAAGTTTAGTAATTAAAAATTTTTACATAAACATGAATTCTAATGTATTATTTAATTCAATGATGAATTACTTATAATTAAATAAGAAATTAATAATTTTCTTAATTAATTCTAAAAATAATCATATTTTTGGATCATTATCTTCTTAATTAAATTATAATTAAATTTTTATATCGAATAGTTAATTATTCATTATTTTTTAAATTAATATTTTGAATAAAACATAAAGTTAACATTTAACGTTTTTTATTTTTATTATAAAATTTTTTGATTTTTTCTTTTACAATAATTCCAATTATTAGTGATATATTAATTTTACAAATAAATACTTTTTTTTAATTTGAATAGTCTATTATAAGTTGATATATATATTCAAATTGGAAAACAATAATAGGTATTGAAATGGAATCAGTAATCCTTACTAATGTTTAAATATATATTTAAATAGAAAAACGAAAATGTATAAACAAAAATTATAATATATGTAGATTTATTAATCACATATCTACAACTGCAAATAAATTAGATTAGGTAACCAACTAAAGTATCTCATTCTGTTTTCTTTTTGAAAGATAGGCTTTAATTTATTTATACATAATATAATTGAATCTAATTACAGGACCTAATAAGCTAATTAATAAAATTCCTATCTATCCAAAACCTAATAAAATTTATTAATCAAGACTCAAATGTTATTAAAAATCAGTACAATATAATATACTTGTAATAGTAAATAACATTACAGGAGCTTCCATCCAAATCACAATAAATAAATCAAATTTCTACTTTATAAGTTTAATTGTAAAAACTAATCCAATATAACTAAATGTTAATACGGCCATCATTAAACATTAGAAAGCACCAGCATTCTATAATACAATTAAAATTATTATAAATGATAGTTTTTTAAATAAGATAACACCTTCATGTTATTCATTTCTAACATAAGTTAAATTAATTTTCCCATTTTATTTCTAAAAGTGAGAACTGAGAAAAAAGATCACTAAAATTAAACTCCCTATACTAAAGAGATAAGATAATAGAGTTCGATAATCATATTGATTATTAGATTTAAGAAATAAAATTACTTTAAAAAGTAAATCCCAACTATTTGCATAAAAAATTTATCTTAATCCTCCAAGATTAAAAAGATTCTTTAATCCTAATAATTTTTTTATCATTTAATAATATTTCAGTGCTAAAAATTCAATGCATCTTGATTTACTTTTTCTTATACAATAAAAATATTTTGAAGTAAAACAATAATCAAGAAACATTTTCTGATATAACTTTGAGAACATCAATAAGAAAACAATAACAGATAATTAAAGAATTTGACCTTTAATGTTTGTAAATAAATCAGCATTCACTTAATATTCTGATAATTTTCCATAGCTTTAAATATAATTGACACCAATGGTTTCATCAAAAATTCCAGAAATTTTAAAATTAATTAGTATAGGATTGATTGATACAAAATCGGATGATTCAAAATATATTTATAGATTTTAAGGATAATTGACATTTATAAATTTTAAATATGTTTAAAATAATAAAGTATCTAAAATTTCTAAACTTAAATCTATTCTTCCAAATAAAAGCATTATTATAGATATAATTCCTAATCCTAACATCAATTTATTTCCCAATTCTTAAAATGAATTAGCTGCTTATAATTATGAGCTATCTAAAACATTTGGTTTTTATAACAATAATTATTATTATTATTAATTAATTAATATATCATTTATATCAATAATTTAAGTATTAAAAGTAACAGTTAAATTTGGTTATGTTTACATTGGTTAAAATATTTTAATTTTGATATCAAACATAGCAGCTACAAATTGAACATCATCAAAATCAATTACAGGATAAATAGTTATATTATATTCATTTTATTCTAAATTATCTATTAGACAAATTAATGATTCTGTAATATCTTTAGAAGGTTCTTTCAATTTTACAAGATTCGAGAATGATAACTTAACATATTAATGTTAGTATGTTTAATTTAAATAAGAAAGCAAGATATTAGTAATTTAATAACATTTACTAGGTTCTTCATCATTGCAAACCCAACCAAACTCTATAATACAATTATTGGAACAACCATCATTATTTAAGTAATTCCAATCATCACATTATTCATCATTTGATATTAATCCATCACCACATTATTTTTATACTTTAATAAATTCATCATCTATATCAGATTCGTCTTAATAATAATTTATAATTCTTTAACAACCTTATAATGTTAATTCAAATCCCTCTATACATTCTTAACATATTCCTTAATTACATTTTGTACAATTTATTTCACATTAATAAATGCATTAATAACAACCATCATACTGAATATCATTTAAATCTTCACAATCTTCAAGACCTTATACAATTATACCATCTCCACATATAGGAACACAATATGTATTATCAATCAATTTAAAGTATTAATTACAAATCATACAAATATTATAATCAGAGCAATAAAAACAGTTTTAATCACATTCATATTTACATTCATAACATCCATCATAAGGTTCATAATTTCCATCATCACATTATTCTTATGTATTGAATGCTTACATTCCATCTCCACATATTTAATAACAATTATTATTTATTAATGACCAACCATCAATACAATCATAACATTAACTTTAATTACATTATTTACATTCTAATTAACAACTTTATTAACATTTATAACAAAAATCAAACTGAAAATTATTTTAATCATCACATATCTCATTTTTTACTATTACACCATCTCCACAAATTGGATTACATTCTTTCATATTTGATTATAAATAATAATATGATTGACATTCCAAACAAATATCAAATAGTTATATTTTACAATTGATAATTCTATCAATACTACATTAATTATAATAATAACCAAATATTCCATAAGATTATTGATTACAGTCTAATTATTATATTTACTAAAGANATTTGGTTATGTTTACATTGGTTAAAATATTTTAATTTTGATATCAAACATAGCAGCTACAAATTGAACATCATCAAAATCAATTACAGGATAAATAGTTATATTATATTCATTTTATTCTAAATTATCTATTAGACAAATTAATGATTCTGTAATATCTTTAGAAGGTTCTTTCAATTTTACAAGATTCGAGAATGATAACTTAACATATTAATGTTAGTATGTTTAATTTAAATAAGAAAGCAAGATATTAGTAATTTAATAACATTTACTAGGTTCTTCATCATTGCAAACCCAACCAAACTCTATAATACAATTATTGGAACAACCATCATTATTTAAGTAATTCCAATCATCACATTATTCATCATTTGATATTAATCCATCACCACATTATTTTTATACTTTAATAAATTCATCATCTATATCAGATTCGTCTTAATAATAATTTATAATTCTTTAACAACCTTATAATGTTAATTCAAATCCCTCTATACATTCTTAACATATTCCTTAATTACATTTTGTACAATTTATTTCACATTAATAAATGCATTAATAACAACCATCATACTGAATATCATTTAAATCTTCACAATCTTCAAGACCTTATACAATTATACCATCTCCACATATAGGAACACAATATGTATTATCAATCAATTTAAAGTATTAATTACAAATCATACAAATATTATAATCAGAGCAATAAAAACAGTTTTAATCACATTCATATTTACATTCATAACATCCATCATAAGGTTCATAATTTCCATCATCACATTATTCTTATGTATTGAATGCTTACATTCCATCTCCACATATTTAATAACAATTATTATTTATTAATGACCAACCATCAATACAATCATAACATTAACTTTAATTACATTATTTACATTCTAATTAACAACTTTATTAACATTTATAACAAAAATCAAACTGAAAATTATTTTAATCATCACATATCTCATTTTTTACTATTACACCATCTCCACAAATTGGATTACATTCTTTCATATTTGATTATAAATAATAATATGATTGACATTCCAAACAAATATCAAATAGTTATATTTTACAATTGATAATTCTATCAATACTACATTAATTATAATAATAACCAAATATTCCATAAGATTATTGATTACAGTCTAATTATTATATTTACTAAAGAGATCTTTAATAATCATTTAATAATATATGCTAATAAAACCCATTTTCTATAAAATTTGTAATTTAATTATTAAATTCTATTTATTATCTAAATTGAGGACCATCATAATAATTATAAATATAAATACACTTATTTTCAATCATTTTATATGATTATAGACATTCTAAACATTTTCCAAACTTACATATTTTACAGAACTTTTAACAAGAAAATTTACATAAATAACAACCATCATATGGAATTATATTTCCATCATCGCATTCTTCCAAATGAGTAATAATAGAATCTCCACATATTGGCATACATATTCTTTGTTATTTTTAATATTCCCATCCTATTTTACATTTTATACAAACTCCTTTTACACAAATACTACATCCAACTACACAATCATAAATATTAGAGAAACAACCATCAAATGGAATATTATTTTAATCAGTGCATGTATGAGAATTAGAAGTATAAGGATGAATAAAAAGTTCAAAATCACTAATTCCTAAAATTGATTAACAAGCTGAATATTAAGTAGGAACACAATAATATTTTGCTGACCATGTGGAAACAACTTAAATTTATATTGTAGATTTTGTATGTTAATATTCTAAAATTTAGATCTAACTTAATGTCATAACATCACAAAAGTCAGTTTATGTATATACTTATTTTGATAAATTAGATGTTAATACAAGTACATTATCAATAAAAACCTGCACAGAATGAGGATCTGAATTAAAAGTCATTATTTTAAGTCTTAGACTTATATTATCATGATTAGTTAATGGTATAATTTTTGTTAAATCAGAACTTGGAGATTTCAAATAATTTTAGTCTAAAATTGACTTAGGTATATACCTAGACAAACTGCATATGTATTCATATTTTGATTACCATAAATCCAACCGTAAGTAGAATCAAAATTTATTGGATCCAGTTTTTTAATGTAAAGTTTTTATAAATAGCATTTACTTGCATCGCATATCTAACATCCTGTTGCACATTTATCTACCAGTAATTAAAATTCAGAAATGCCCCAGTAATTTTCTTAACCATTAATAAGTATTTGAGCAGTAGAACTATAATGAGTTAAAACTCTAGAAACACTAGCTGTTCCATCCCCATAACTAGATCCTGGAGTACCACAAATACTTGGTAAACTGTATTCTGAAGAATATGATTGAACGTGTGCTTCTACATTATCAACATAAACTTTCAAATATTCTCCTCCCCAATTATCGAGACTTCAATCAATTATAAAATTGTACTGCCAAAATTTAAATTAAAACCTTAACTAATAATGAGGTGGTAAATTAAAAGTCTTGATTATATGAGTATTATATGAAAATTCAGGAGAGCCTCCAAATATTTTACTTGATCCACAATATGAAACTGGGCCTGAGTAAGTACCTTAGATAAACCAATCTGAATAATATAATTATTATAATACCATTTGAATATGAGAAATCTCCAAAAAAGTTTGAATATACCAATGTTTGTGATGATGCACTTCTTATTATTAGACTTAAAATAATCACTCTTAAGAATTCTTAATTTAGATTAAGAGTGTCTTTCAAATTTATGAACATAATTTTCAAATATTGAAGTTTACTTCTGAAAAATAAATAATAGAAAAGATAATTTAGTGTTTAACATTTTAAATTAATAGAACATTCGAAAAATTTAATATACTAAAAATTCTCAAAAAACAAAATGCACACTAATACTCTCTATTTTCTATTTCCTATCATAATTAATAAATGCCCTTTTAAATTGTTCTCACATACATAAATTCAAATATAATTGTATTAATTAAAAATTATTTCTATGATAAATTCTTAATAGAATAAGACATTTCAATATATCTACTAAAAAATCATAGAAGATATTTGAAAAAAACATATATATTTTATTATTATTTTATTATTTCTAACTAAAATAAAAAAATAAAAAAGAATATTGTTATGAAAGTAGGTTGAAATAGGAAAAAGAAATGTAAGGAAAAGTATAGAGTTGCAATTATTGAAAAGAAAAAGAGTAAAGCAAATTAATGAGAGATAAAATGGTTCATTCTATATATGTTGCTAACATAGTATTAAGAACAGATAGATCAATAACTTTTGCATTTTTATATGTTCTATGAAGTTTTAAAAATTCATTATTGTATTTTTTTCTTTTTTTATCCTAAAATAATCCTTTATTGCTTGTATTTTAGATCATAAATGGTAATTACCATTCACAATTAAATATATAGGTTTATATCTCATTTTTTATAATTTACCCTAATTTTGATGGGTAAATTATATAAAAGAATTACATAGTAAATAAGTTTATGATACATTTGTAGATAAAAAAATTGAAGAGATATAGAAAATATTTAGAATTCATAACTAATAAAAATTAAATAATTATTATACTAAATGTTATTATTATCAGTATTTTTTAAAATGTAGTATTAGTAATCTAGTGAGATTCTGATCCCTTTTAAATTACTTAAGTGAAAAATTTGGAATATATTTGAAAATAATAAAGATTAATACTATTTTTATTGAATGGGCTCTTATTAATTTTGTATTTAATGATAACGAATGCTGTCATTTATAAGATCAATTATAAGAAACTCTAATTGATACCAATCAATACTTAATAAACAGTATACTTTCAGTGAATCAATGATTTTCTAAAATCTAAATAAAATATTGTAAAAATCCTTTACAAGTAATTCACATTATATAGGAAAGTTAATTGTAAATTACTTAAAATATATCATTATATGATTATTGTAAACTATTTTTGTAGAATAGAAAATATACATTTAATATAAAAGATCTTACATCAAAATTAAGTTGGATATTTTTCTGATTAAATAGAATAGAAATCTAATTTTAAGTATAAATGCGAATGTGAAAAATGTTGATTAGAAATAGTTTTCATTTTATTCTTATTAAATAAAGTTTCAAGGATATATAGAATACTAGTCACTGAGCTGTTTATATGAATAAATAAATGTTAATGCTTTCTAAAAAGTCTTGATTTAGATATATAACTCAATTTACTTTAGTAAAAATGAATTAAAATAAATTTTAAGACTATGGTTTGGACGAAAGCAAAAAAATGAAAAATAAATGGTTGATGAAATAAAGCTTATGTTATTTTGTATAAAAACTGAATAAATTCAAAACAAAAAAATATTTAACATATCTTATATTATATATTCTGGAATTGATTAGTCATATTAATAATTGAATAAGTAGAATAGATTCTATTTTAATAATATAGACTAACTTTTAAAGATCAAATTTTAGTATATTTAAATATTATTACTCTTTAAAGAGATTATTAATAACAATTTAATATATACGATGTACACCAAATGCGAAGGATTCTATCCAAGTTAAAGCCATAATGATTAGATGACAATAGATAACTTATATTATTCTAAAGCATACTATAAATTTACTAATTTTTGAATAAATAAAGAAAGGTTACTTTGAAGTTTAATTTATAATTCATTATTATTCAATTACTTAATTATGCATCAATATTATTTGAATAATCAATTAAGATTTTGATAATTTAAAATTTTTAAAAAAACTTATGCAAAAAAAATAGAGTAGATTAATTGATTAAAGATTTAATATTAAATATATTAAAGAATATTAAGAATCTCCGAAATTTTGTTAAGCTATTCTTAAATTTAAATAAGTATACATTTAATTAAAATAATAAAATCTATATAGTTTTGATTTTAACATTTCTTAAAACTAAATTCTTAGCTTTTATTTCGCATTAATGAACAATACCATACTCATTATAATTAGCATAAAACAGCCCTCAAAAGGTAAATGTAATCTTTTACAAAAATATTTGTGGATTTATTTAACTACACTATAATAAGTCAGGACCAAATTAAAATAAAAGATCAAGTTTTGCCTCTACATTTTTTTTTATTGCTCAGATATTAATTAAATATAAAATATCGAAAACATACATCTTACCATACTTTGATCTCTACAATAAATATTACAATATAATGATACTAATAAAGAAATTACGCACCTCTAGCTTTAAACAATTATTAATTTTTGCAAAAAGCTTATCACTTGCTAAAAAAGGTTTGAAACATTATTTACCTAAAGTGTACAATAACTAAACTAAAAANATATCATTATATGATTATTGTAAACTATTTTTGTAGAATAGAAAATATACATTTAATATAAAAGATCTTACATCAAAATTAAGTTGGATATTTTTCTGATTAAATAGAATAGAAATCTAATTTTAAGTATAAATGCGAATGTGAAAAATGTTGATTAGAAATAGTTTTCATTTTATTCTTATTAAATAAAGTTTCAAGGATATATAGAATACTAGTCACTGAGCTGTTTATATGAATAAATAAATGTTAATGCTTTCTAAAAAGTCTTGATTTAGATATATAACTCAATTTACTTTAGTAAAAATGAATTAAAATAAATTTTAAGACTATGGTTTGGACGAAAGCAAAAAAATGAAAAATAAATGGTTGATGAAATAAAGCTTATGTTATTTTGTATAAAAACTGAATAAATTCAAAACAAAAAAATATTTAACATATCTTATATTATATATTCTGGAATTGATTAGTCATATTAATAATTGAATAAGTAGAATAGATTCTATTTTAATAATATAGACTAACTTTTAAAGATCAAATTTTAGTATATTTAAATATTATTACTCTTTAAAGAGATTATTAATAACAATTTAATATATACGATGTACACCAAATGCGAAGGATTCTATCCAAGTTAAAGCCATAATGATTAGATGACAATAGATAACTTATATTATTCTAAAGCATACTATAAATTTACTAATTTTTGAATAAATAAAGAAAGGTTACTTTGAAGTTTAATTTATAATTCATTATTATTCAATTACTTAATTATGCATCAATATTATTTGAATAATCAATTAAGATTTTGATAATTTAAAATTTTTAAAAAAACTTATGCAAAAAAAATAGAGTAGATTAATTGATTAAAGATTTAATATTAAATATATTAAAGAATATTAAGAATCTCCGAAATTTTGTTAAGCTATTCTTAAATTTAAATAAGTATACATTTAATTAAAATAATAAAATCTATATAGTTTTGATTTTAACATTTCTTAAAACTAAATTCTTAGCTTTTATTTCGCATTAATGAACAATACCATACTCATTATAATTAGCATAAAACAGCCCTCAAAAGGTAAATGTAATCTTTTACAAAAATATTTGTGGATTTATTTAACTACACTATAATAAGTCAGGACCAAATTAAAATAAAAGATCAAGTTTTGCCTCTACATTTTTTTTTATTGCTCAGATATTAATTAAATATAAAATATCGAAAACATACATCTTACCATACTTTGATCTCTACAATAAATATTACAATATAATGATACTAATAAAGAAATTACGCACCTCTAGCTTTAAACAATTATTAATTTTTGCAAAAAGCTTATCACTTGCTAAAAAAGGTTTGAAACATTATTTACCTAAAGTGTACAATAACTAAACTAAAAATGCCAATAAGGAACAAAAAAATACAGTAAAGTGCAAATAAAATATCATATGTTACAATTAGCTTCAAATCATTAGGAAAGTTTCTATCTTAGAATATTCCACTTCTTTTTAAATACTAAAATAATTTCTGTTAGCGTCTTAACTGTCTCTAGTAATAGAAGCACAGTCTAAGATATCACTCAAAATATATGGACTTTGAAATGAGTATGGAAAAATTTTATAACAAGAAATGCAACAACAAGACTACTTAAACAACCTACCTCAATAGAACCAATATTGAATGATCTAATAATGTGTGTTAATGATTAATAATAATAATAATAATAATAATATAATAACTTTTTAGAATTATAAAATTTTTGAAATTGATCCTCTACAGTTTTTAATAAAATTATAAATGGTATTTTAGTGATAAAACAATATATCATACTCTCTTTTTATATTTTATTATCTGTTAATTATATTTAAATATTAATATAGTTTTTAGATCAATTTTAATTATTATAATATTTGACGTATGTATATTGAAATTATAATTATATGTTTACCTTTAATGCTATTAATAAAATTTTAATTTTTAATGACAAATAGACTTTATATTATAGCAGAATTATAATTTATATAGCGATATAGTGCTACTGACTCTGAAATTTTTATGGATACCTAAATAATGGTTATTCTTTACCTTATTAAATGTAATACCTATAAATAAGGAAATCCCCGACCTAATAAATTGTATGTTCTAGCTAATAATAATAATAATATGATTAATGGAACATTCAAAATCTAATTAATTTATCTAATTATGATGATAATCAAATAAATTTATATAAAATGATGCCATAACTATGAAGTTTTAGTGNCTTAAATTTAAATAAGTATACATTTAATTAAAATAATAAAATCTATATAGTTTTGATTTTAACATTTCTTAAAACTAAATTCTTAGCTTTTATTTCGCATTAATGAACAATACCATACTCATTATAATTAGCATAAAACAGCCCTCAAAAGGTAAATGTAATCTTTTACAAAAATATTTGTGGATTTATTTAACTACACTATAATAAGTCAGGACCAAATTAAAATAAAAGATCAAGTTTTGCCTCTACATTTTTTTTTATTGCTCAGATATTAATTAAATATAAAATATCGAAAACATACATCTTACCATACTTTGATCTCTACAATAAATATTACAATATAATGATACTAATAAAGAAATTACGCACCTCTAGCTTTAAACAATTATTAATTTTTGCAAAAAGCTTATCACTTGCTAAAAAAGGTTTGAAACATTATTTACCTAAAGTGTACAATAACTAAACTAAAAATGCCAATAAGGAACAAAAAAATACAGTAAAGTGCAAATAAAATATCATATGTTACAATTAGCTTCAAATCATTAGGAAAGTTTCTATCTTAGAATATTCCACTTCTTTTTAAATACTAAAATAATTTCTGTTAGCGTCTTAACTGTCTCTAGTAATAGAAGCACAGTCTAAGATATCACTCAAAATATATGGACTTTGAAATGAGTATGGAAAAATTTTATAACAAGAAATGCAACAACAAGACTACTTAAACAACCTACCTCAATAGAACCAATATTGAATGATCTAATAATGTGTGTTAATGATTAATAATAATAATAATAATAATAATATAATAACTTTTTAGAATTATAAAATTTTTGAAATTGATCCTCTACAGTTTTTAATAAAATTATAAATGGTATTTTAGTGATAAAACAATATATCATACTCTCTTTTTATATTTTATTATCTGTTAATTATATTTAAATATTAATATAGTTTTTAGATCAATTTTAATTATTATAATATTTGACGTATGTATATTGAAATTATAATTATATGTTTACCTTTAATGCTATTAATAAAATTTTAATTTTTAATGACAAATAGACTTTATATTATAGCAGAATTATAATTTATATAGCGATATAGTGCTACTGACTCTGAAATTTTTATGGATACCTAAATAATGGTTATTCTTTACCTTATTAAATGTAATACCTATAAATAAGGAAATCCCCGACCTAATAAATTGTATGTTCTAGCTAATAATAATAATAATATGATTAATGGAACATTCAAAATCTAATTAATTTATCTAATTATGATGATAATCAAATAAATTTATATAAAATGATGCCATAACTATGAAGTTTTAGTGAAACAAGATCATTAATCAATCCCAACATATGATTTATTGCCATTCTTGTTTAAAAACTTTTTTTACGATAATTAAATAAGACGTAATTTAATGAATAATGATTAATTAAGTAATAATCTTATATTGAATAACAATTTATTTATATTAAATTTTATACAAATTCTTGAATATCATTTAACTTTTATTCTTATAATAACTTTTTTTATAATAAAATAGGATTATTCCTGATTATAATTAATTGAATAAATAATTTCATTAAATTAATTTCTTTATCTAAAAAATATACATAAATTATAATTGAGATTTCAATTAAATTTGATCATATAAATATTTAATAAGTACTTGTTGAATATGAGGTAGAGCATATAATCTTTAAATATTAAGTTTGTATATATTAGATATTAATAATTTGGCGATAATTTTTTAAATTATACAAAGTTTATATTAAATTAATATTGATGATTTATTATATTATGTAATGAAAATATTAAATTTCCTATTAATTATTTGCAATTATAATATACATTTATAAACTTTGAAATAATATAGAATAATTATACAATAATGATTTAAAATAATTGGTGTTAAGGAGAAATATATAATATTTCAGGAAGACAAGGGTTTTATAGCTATTACTGGTTGTTTGAAAAAACAACTTTTTAAATAAAATTTACAAATGATTCAGAAATCATCTACTCTCAATTTGGAAATATATTAAGAACGTAATGATAATAATATTGACAAGAGAAAAAATAATAGATAAAAAGAACAAAACTATTATAATGACAAACTTGGAATAAATTAAGCATCTTAAATGGGAAGGGGAATATGGAATCAATAATGTGTAGACTGGTAAATGGATTGCATTTTGGAAAGGAAAATAATTAGATGTAGGAGGAGAGTATAATGAAAATGGATTGAAAATAGGAAAGTGGATTGAATTATTTGAAAATTATTGGGAGTAATAATTATCAATTTAAATAGATATTCACCAGTTACATATATTGGAGAATATTAAGATGGAAATAAATAAGGAATATGGGATACATTTTATGAAAAATAGAAAATGTAATAATTAATAAATTGAAATTTTTTAGAGGAGGAGGTACTTATTAAAATGGTAATAAAATTGGTAATTGGATTGATTTATATGAAAATTATTATTGGTGATAATATTATATATATTATTAGCTCATGTAAAGTTACTTATACAGGAGAATATTAGAACAATAATAAAATTGGTAGATGGGATACTATATATTAAAATAGAATTATGTATAAATCTTTATGAATATAACTATTATTTATAGTGGAAGTACTAATTATGATTAAAATGGAGTGAAAAATGGAAAAGGAATTGAATTGAATGAGAACTTCTATTAGTATTATAAATTTCAAGATTTTAAAGTTGTTGTTAAGTTGTATACATAGGAGAATATAAGAACAATATTAAGATAGGTAGATGGGATACAATTTATTTAGAAAATAATATAATTATGTAATAATTCTTAATTATTCATTTATAGTGGAGGAGGTAATTATGATAATAATGGTTTGAAAGAAGGCGAATGGGTAGATTTGCATGATGGATATAATATGTAATTAAAATGAATAGCGAATTAGATATTATAAATAAATTTAATCAGGAACATATAAGAATGGTATTAGACAAGGTACATTTATAGAATCATTTTTAACTTGATTTTATTTTATTTTATAAGCAACTATCTTATGTTTTTATTGTTAGATCATTATTTTTTTAATTTTTATTCTATTCCTCAAATAGTATTTGATGAATTTAATTGTAATTCTAAAGATTCATGGTGTTCATTTATTAAAGAAATTCCTTAAATTATTAATCTAAAAGAAAAATTAATTATAATTTTTCTTTTTCATATAAAACAATAGATATTTAATTAATATAGAAAATCATTTGAATTTCTAGTGAATAATATATATTTTAAGAAATTAATGTGAATAATTATTTGCTTGATAATTATATATGTATATATCAATATATCTACGATTTATTATTCCATTAATTTTTATCTACTTAGACTTAAGCGAATAGGTTGTTTTTCAAATCTTAGAATCTCTTTGCAAAATGAGAATTGATGTTGAGAGCTGTTGTAGAATTCATTAATTAAGAAATTTGACCTTTAAGATTTCCAACAGCCTTTTATCTTGGGACATTTAATACAAGAGGTCTACCTTTGAGATTTCTGTTCTACATCATTTTATCTAATTCATTGGTAATTTGAAAGTGAAAAGAGGAGCCTATAGTAATATATGATAATTAAATGAGGTATCTATTTGCTTTAAGACCTTTAAGTTGCTTATGTAATTTAACATAATCATTCTAACCATCAGTCACCAAACAAATACAGATTTTTTTTGTGTTCAACTTATAGTTTTTTTCTTCAAATTCCCTAAAAATATCAACCAAATTAACATATAATTATTGATTATCAAATAATGAAAATTGGGCATTTTACCATTTTAATTTAACAGTTTAAATTTAAGAGAATTCAGTGTTGAAATTTTCAATGGCTGAATCTATTTCATTTCTCATAGACTCATTATTATCAAAAATTATGACAACTACTTTTTCTCTGTCATCATTTTATGGTCTAATTTATGATTTAAGTGATTCAGGGAGATAATCAAATTCATCATTATGATCGGTGATAGCCATAGATTATTATATGCCAATACCTGCATGAGCTAATACATCATCAATAATTTTAATAGCATCTTTGGAATTCAAGGTTTTCTTAATTAATTTAACTTAATCAATTTCCTTCATCATCAGATTGAGCTCCTTTAATAAATCATATGATTCTTCATCAACTTTTGCTAATTATACTCGTTCAAACACTGAATCAAGCTCAATAAGAGTAGATTTATAGTATTCATTAAGAATTTAACGAACATCTTACTAATTTTAGTTTTGTGAAAATAAGGATTTGTATTTCTTTAATCCATTAATGATAATTTCCTTAGCCATTGTGATTTATGCTGATTCATAAGTTTATTATAATTATTGAACCTATTTCATTTTAACTTGAGCCCTTGCAAAGCATCCAACATTCTTTAATTTTTTCTTTTAGGCTAAATTAATACCTTCAGGCTATAAATTTTGAACATCATCCTTTACAGATAGTTATTGTGATATAATTTTAATACTATCAATAGCATCAGGATTTGGATTTGATAATTAAGCTTACAATCCTGTTAAAGTTTATGGAGTACATTAATCAATATCAACATCTCCTTCTGCAAATTAATTAACAATTACTAAAGCATTATTAAATTGAATTTCAAGTTTTTATTCTTGTTCTGTCAATTGTTAAATTTCATTTTTTTAATTCACATCTTTTAATATTTCATCAGAAAAATCCTTTACTATTTAAAATTTTTCTAATATTTTTTCTTCAACTATTTTATCAGGATCACTAGCAAACATGATTAATGCTTATTAAGCAGAATCAGAAACCATTTTTTTCTTATCAACTAAATTATTTGTAGCTGGAATTACTTAACCATTGGCAATAACTTCTCCTTCTGAAACAAATAATGTTCCAGCAGGTAAATGATGTTAAGGGTTAGAAACTAAAGTCAATTTTACTTCTGCATCTGTTTGAAATAAGTCTTATTATACTAAAGTTTAATCTCTAATTTTTTTAAAAGCAGAATCAAAGAAATTAAACATTTCTTCTTCTGTTCTTTCTGGATTTTTATTATGATGATATATTGGTTCAATAAAATCTGTGTTATGAAGTTATAATCTTAATTAATTTGAAATAGTATTTGGAAACCATTTACCTATTGAAATAGAAACAAATTAAATTAAAAATTTTTTTTCTTTTATTTTCTCTATTAATTCTTTAAGTTCTGGCAAATTGAATTTTTCATCGCCATCACTTATAAAGATTATTGTTACATGTTAAGGAAATTATTCAGTCAACAATTTATTCAAAATATATTTGAATGCTTTTGTAATATCACCTGATCCAGCAGCAACAAAAGGTTCAAAATCATGAACATCTTCTGTAAATTGAATTTTTAATTATTTATTTCCTAGATCATCAAAATTCTTTTTGTGTGCCTTCAAAATTTCTTCATACTCAAAATTCATCGAACTTGTACCATCCAATAATGTTATAGGATATGATTAAACTTTAACAGATTAAGGGGCTCTAGCAATTCTAATGTTCATTAAATTAATTATATATTTAAGCCTTTTACATTTAGATATTTATATATGTCATTAAATTCTATTAAATTATGATGAATTTAGAAGAAAATAATGATAATAATTATTTTTTATTTATATTTTTAGATTAGGAATAATTGATACATTACAATCTATTATTAAAGAAAAATAAATAAATTTAATTTATTTATAAAAATAATATAATATAAATCAGCAATCTCTTTATTGTCTTATCTATAAATTCTTTGTTTTATCATCCCATGTTACTAAAAATTCTCCATTTTCAGTCATTCTACCTATAACACGATTAGTTTAAAAGTCTATATGTTAGATTATTTCATAGTCATCATTTTCATTTAATCTAATCAAATTGATTGAACAACTTGATTTGTTTACAAGAATAGATTATGATTTAATATATTGTTAAGGGAAAAACCAAAAACAACTCTTATTACTATTAATACTAGTGCCTGTATATATAGATATTTCTTTATTCTTAATAAAATTGGAATCATAGTCATTCTTTGAAAATATCTACAATTTTTTCTTTCTTTCAGGTTAAAAAACAAATTCTGAATTATTAATAAAACATAATCTTCTACCTCCATCTCTTGTTAAAATTGTCTAACATTATTTCCATAATTATTTTTAATCATCAAAAGAGAATATAAAAATTTATTTATCTTTTGAACAAGATATAAAGTGATTCTCATTCTCATTTAAACTTATAGAACAAACATAATGATGATGTCCTGTTAGAGTTTGGGAACATATCCAAAATTCTTTGTCTTTCTTCCAAGATTTGATAGTAAAGTCATCACTACCTGATAATAATAAATCTTCATATTTATTTAATACTAAACAACTTATACCTCCTAAATGTCCAGTCAATACTTATTTAGGATTCCATTAATTATCATCAAATTATTCCCATAAAATAATAGTTTTATCGCAGCTTCCAGAAAAGAATTCATTAGTTCTTTTCATAGTAATTAAACTGTAAACACTTTTTTTATGAATCTTTAATTTTTATAATTACTTTATCTAGCCCTAATTAAATTAATAAATGTTGATCTTTCTTGATTCATATCCAACTATCATTAAATTAGATTGATTTATAAATTCTATAGCATTAATTTAATCTTCTTCAAATGAATGAATTATTCTATATCCTGTTATTGATTCCTTTTTTACTTTTTTAATTGGATGATCAGAGTAGAATAATTCATTGATATACATTTTTAAGGTTTAAACCACATTCTCTGTGCTTCTATATAAGAGTTGAAACATTGCCTTACTTTCATTTTGAATTCTAATTTGATCTTAAATAAATTATGATATTTCTGTAATATTTAAACCATTTAATTATTTTATATTAATTTATGATTTAACTTAAAAAGCACTTTTAAATTTTATGAACAAAGTAGATATTAGGTTGATTTTTTATTCTAATTCATTTGTTAAATTATCAATTTAATTACATAATAAATTCTAAAAGTTTTCAATCTTATGAATTTCTTTAACATGAGATTTATGTTTCTCATTTTGTAAACATTTAAAACAAAAAATTCTCGATTCTTAACATGTCTCATTCATGCAAACAAATTCGGTATCTAAATCGTGATTTGGATTACTACACTTAAAAATCATTTAATTTATAACATAAATTATATGAATTCATTTAATTTGATATAAAAATTAGTTGGGTATTATTTATCCTAAATTCATAATTGATGTCTCTAATTTTATTTTCTCGAATTATTGATTAATCAAAGATATCTTTCTAAATCATATTTTAATCATGACTATATAGAAACAAAAAAACAAAAATATTAATAAATATCAAATCAGAAAATAATTATTATTAAATAAATATTATTTAGTAAGCCTAGTTTTTAAATGCTAGATTTATTAATTATTTAACTTTCTTAACACTTTTAATCAATAAATATCAATTTAATATCACATTTTTAAGCTTCATTTAATTGTAAAAAAAATGTATTTCTGTAAACAAAATAAATATATTATATGTTTTTTCATTTATATTATGGTTTCATAGAATTAGAATAATTCTTAGTATTACAAATTTATATGACCGAGATTCTTTTGCATCTACATTATTTAACAGTTTAAATCAAATTTTTGACAATAAAGTATTTTTTATTTATTTATATCTGTAATATAAACATAATTTAATAGTGTATTTTTTTGTAATTAAATTAAGATTTCTAGAAAGGGAGATGGTTTTAAATAATTAGTTGTAAATTTAGCAAATCAATGTTTTATAAATTCTGAAGTTTTTACAGAAGAAATTTTTTTAATTCATTTTATAATTATGAGCACTTTGTATTCTTATTACTTGCATAATGTATTTTATTCTTCTACTAATATATCGGCAATCAAGATTTATACATAATATAATGAATTATAAATTAAATATTATTGTAATGGGGGTTTCTATTAATTATTAATTTTCATTAATGAAGAACTTGATGAATTACTGAATGTAATAAGTATAGAAAGCCTTTATATATAGATGACCATGAAAAAACACAATAAATGAATTAGGATGATAAAATAAAGAGTAAAAATAAGATTATGATTAAAAATCATTTTTTATTATGTTGAATAATTTTATGAATAAGAACCTAAACTTTAATGTAAAAAAAAAAGATTCCAAGAATATTCTTAGAATTCTTTATTGTTCTAAATAATTATTGGCAAATGAAATTACACAAAATTTCTATGAGAAAATGGAGCAGAGGATAACAAAATATTAATCTATGCAATGCTAATTATAATATATATTAATTCATTCTTCTTTTTCTTTTTTTTCAGGCGTGAAATCATTCAATAAATCACAAGGAGCTAGTACATCAAATATAACCCCTTCTACAATCACATTGTATTAATAAGTGGAACCTATTATAAAAAATTAATAAAACAATTTGGATCATAAGGTTTAGGGTTCTATTTTATAGGGTATGCTTTTGTAAAATTTACAAATAATTGAGAGTGATCATGCTAATTATTGTTTGCTAAACTTGATTTTATATAAGAATTCTAATTGAGACTAGATGTATTTAATTTTAATTCCATTTTGATATATTAATTTAAATTTTATCCAATATGCAGAATTAATATATATCCTTTTATAAATTTTATATTTATAATTCCGTTAATTAGCTGAAGTTACGTTTTGAGACTTAAATTTTGATTAGCTGACTACTTATAAATGAGTTTAGTTATCATAATTCTTTTTTTGTTGTATTATCCTAACAATTTTATATTTATATAAATATTTCCATTTCATAATATTTTGAAATAAATTTCATATACAATCTTTCTTTATGATCCCTCTCATACTTAAATTTATATATCTTCTAAAATAAATTCCAATATATTTAATTTTCAAGTCATTACTTTTTACAATATATCTTCATACATAATTGAAATGATTATATATTTTCATATTTGAAATCATGGTAATTTCTAATCTTTTAAATTCATTTCAATCATTTTATCATCAAAAGCCTTGTAACTTCAATCTATCACTTCTAATAATCTGTATGTATTGCTGTGTAAATTCATATCACTAAAGCTTTTGAATATTTAATTTATCCTAATCATCTAAAGTTCGAAATATTTCTTTTTGTTTTTAATTCTAATACTAATTTTAAGGATGAGTTTCATAAGAATTAATGTTATCATTCTCCATGCCTTTCTATCTAAAAATTCATATTCTAATTTTTATGGTTTGTTACATTAATTATTGTTCTAATTATTTAATACACCTTATATTATAAGTGTTAAATAATTCAACTCAAATTAATAATTTATAATTGAAATATATACTCCTTAAAGACTTTTACACTTATTAACATAATATTCGAATTATTTGGATATTAGAAATCTTAAATCATAAATTGTACTTGAATTGATAATTGATTTTTAAATACATTAATTTTATTATGTGCACAATCAATCAAAATTTAGAAAAGGAAACTTATGAATTGTTGAATGATAACACAATTTATTAAAATTAATGGTGTGGAGCTATTGCAATCGATGAAAACTATAATCTTCTTTTTGTAGGTCATAAATTTGCTATCAAGGTTTTCGAATTAAAAAATGGAGCCCTCAAATAGTTAAATCTACTCTTAAATCATTCAGATTATGTTACATCTTTGAATTTATTGTAAAAGAAATCATATATCTTATCTGGTTCTCATGATAAATAGATTGCTGTCATGTGTACTTAATTGATGTCAAATCCTAAATACATTAAAAAACTAAAAGGACATATGGATACAATTAATTGTATAATCCCACATCCAATTAATGAAGAAATGTTTATATCTAGTAGTAAAGACTGTAAAATCAAATTTTGGACATTCTCATCAAAACATTCTAGGAAACATTGTTATCAGACAATAACCGAACACAAGAAATCTGTTATGAAATTATCCATAAATCAATAAGGAAATACATTAATCTCTCTTGGAATGGATAAATTAATATTAGTTCTAACATAATTAGAATTGTTCTGGGTTGTGAAATAGAAAATTTATTTAAATAAATTAGGTCCTAATATTTGTTTTATAACTAATGAAATGTTCATATTTTAACCTAATTAGTTATTTTCAGCCAAACATAGATCTGAAAATATTTGGATTTATGCCTAAGACAAAAAGAATTAAAAGTATTACTCTTTCTAAAAGGATATATAAATAAGTGACAATACTTAAAATTGTATAGGATCATTTCCATTTTTTTATAATCATCAAAAAAGACTTCTTATATTTTAGAATGGTAATTCTCTTAAAATAATAAAATTTTAAAATCTTGAGTAAGGAGTATTCAACATAGAGTAAATTATCATATTTAGTAATTAAATACAAAATAATCCTTTGAGTTTTATTTGTGGGGCAATAAGCAATGATTGGAAATATTTAGTAACTTGGGATAAAACTTCTTTTCTTCTTCAAGTAAGGAAATATGTTGGAATTGAATGAACATCAAATATTAATGATAATATTCTTCATATTGAGTATTTAAAATAAGAATTAAAAAGGTAATAGATATTATTGAATGAATAATTGTCTAAATTTATTTCTAAAAAAAATAATATTATGTTAATTGAAATTATTCATATTGTAATATTTCTAATAATTTACAAATATTTTTATTTATATTATTCTTTAAATTAACAATTTGAAGTTAATATAAACCAAAAAAAGGCCATTTCTTCTTTTATCATAATATTATGGTCATTTAATAGTTTTGTAATAAATGAAAAGGATATCTTAAAAGTTATTTACCAATTATTAATAAAAATATATAATAAAATTATCTATATTGAAATTTTAATTAAAAAAGAATTACTAACTATTTCAATTTATAAAATTTTCTATATAGTATTATTATTAATAAATGGCTGAATCATTAGAGAAATTAGGCAAAAATGATAAAAATTAAGAGGAGTCAATATCTCGATTATTTTTTAATTTAGTTACTTGTACTTTTTAAACTATGTTTGGTTATATTTGCTTGGATGTTTGTGTGTCAATTAGTTTGCATTATATTGCTTAAGAGTAATGAAAATAAATTATTTAGAATAAATCCAGTTGCAAATGCTGGTTATGGTTTTTCATTGACTTGTGTTTATATGATATTAACACCATTCGCTTTTGGTCTTAATTAATCATTAAATATGCATACATCATAAGCATTGGGGGCAAAAAAAGTATCTCTAGCAAAAGGGTATTTTAATTTAAATAATTATGTGATATTTTTCACACTAATACCTTTGGGAATTCTGCTTTTAATATTAAAATACCCATTAAGTTTAATTATGGCAGAAGATTAACGACAATAAACATCTGATTACTCTCAAGAATTTTTATATTATTTGATACCTGCCTTTATTCTTGCATTTGAATTTGAAAGTGTAAAATGTTTTATGGTTGCCCATAAAGTTACATATCCCTTTACTATAATCCATTTCTGTACTCTACTTACTCATTGGTTTTTTTGTTGGCTTTTTATAGTTTATTTCAAATGGGGAGTGCCAGGAGCTGGAATTGTGATAATTTTAACAGAAGTCTTTAATATTATTGGATTAGTTAGTAAAAAATATGTATAATTTTTAGTTTTTGTTGAAAATACTGATTTAAAAAAAAATATATTTCATGGGACAAAAATCTTACTAGATGTAGATAGATTTAAAAAATTTGGATTTTAATATATCAGAACTTCAATTCCTATAGTTTTGCATATTTTTTCAGAATTGTTTGTATTTTTTACTCTATCTTTTATTGCATTAAGTTTAGGGGTTTCAGAAATGAATGCTCATTTGGGTTTATAAAATATGTGTGGGGTTTATTTTAGTATTTTTATTATTAAAATTATTTTAGGAATTCCGATTAGTTTATCTATAGCAATGATGTCTTTTGTTGGAACCGAAATGGGTAGAGCAAATATAAAATTAGCCAAAATGTATATTTTCTTAGGAGTTATAATTTTTATTATTGCATGTGCAATTTCTTCACTTTTTATTTGGAATAAAAAAGAATTATTAGCAAATTTTTATGCATCCTATTAGCATGAAGATGAATTCACAATAAAAGCTAAACAGATATTCTTGGATACTATTCCATGGTTGATAGGAGGCATGCTTGTTGTCGACGGTCTTTAAGGAACCCTAAGTGGAGCTTTGAAAGGAATTAACAAAATTAATCTTGTCTTTGTATTATTTTTATTTATTATCCAGTACTCAACTATCATAGCTTATTATATTATTTGCCTTCCAATTGTGTCCTTTTTTGCATATTCATGGGGACTAGATTAAGGAGTGGTTGGTATTTGGTAAGGTTTTGGAATAGCAAATTTAATTTTAGCAATATTAGACCTTACTATTTTATTTACTGTTGATTGGGAATAGGAATCGAAAAATATCATTAAAAGAGTGGAAACACACAATGAAATTGAATTAAAAACTTTGATTGAATTAGAAGATGAAAAATAAAATATGTGATCTTTAATTATAGTGTTGGTTTAAATTAAAATAGTTGAAACTTAATATATATAGTTTAAAATATTTATTGTTTTATTCAAAAAAATATAATTAATAGTTTCAAATATTGTTTTACTTATAACATATATCTAAAAATTGTTTTAGAATTATTATTGAAATATGTATTTATTTTAAATAATAAAATCTTTTCTAATAATTATGATAATTTTTATTATCTGGCAATTATTTCCATAAACATTCTAAATCTGAGTTGTTAGTTTGGCAATTTTGCAAAATCTAATACACAAAGAATTGATATCAACAATAAAATACCATAATGGGTTCAAATTTAAATAAATCTTATTTTATTTTTTTGTCGCTTTTCTCAATCAGATTTAATCATAGTGAGTTACAACTTTTTTTTAAAAACATTTTATTAAGTAGACATAAAAAATTTGAAAAATTCTCTTTCTAATTTGGCTAACAAATGCTCAAACCCTTTCCAATTAGGAGATCAGATTTCAAGAATTCAAGCTACTCCTCAGACCAAAACGAAAACTCATTCAAGAAGTGGGTTATTATTATAAAGAGACCTCAAGATGAGCAAGTAGAGCTTTCCTTCATGTAATCCCACATTCATCATGCTATATTTCGTGATCCAAATGGTAAAATTCTCATCTATAGTTGACTCCTTCCATCTATAATGACTCACTACTTTAAACTCAAGTGAACAAGCAAGCATAATTAATTCTCTACAACTCTTTTCACTTTCTTTAACAAAATATGGAAGATCATATACTAAGGTTTTAATCATTATCTGAAGTTTACAGGCCTTTAAAATGAGGAATATTGAGCCAATAGGCTCCTACAATATGATGTCAAGTAGTTAAATACGTGTTGTCAGGTAGAAGTCTTCATGTATGTTCAAGTATGATTAAGCAATATACCATTCAATAAATCATCCTACAAGGTAGTGAATACATCTTCTGCTCCTAAGACCCAGATGAGGGTATTCGACACAATCTCAAAGGAAAAGGTGTATCCTAGAGGAAGACTCTAACCNTTTTTGCATATTCATGGGGACTAGATTAAGGAGTGGTTGGTATTTGGTAAGGTTTTGGAATAGCAAATTTAATTTTAGCAATATTAGACCTTACTATTTTATTTACTGTTGATTGGGAATAGGAATCGAAAAATATCATTAAAAGAGTGGAAACACACAATGAAATTGAATTAAAAACTTTGATTGAATTAGAAGATGAAAAATAAAATATGTGATCTTTAATTATAGTGTTGGTTTAAATTAAAATAGTTGAAACTTAATATATATAGTTTAAAATATTTATTGTTTTATTCAAAAAAATATAATTAATAGTTTCAAATATTGTTTTACTTATAACATATATCTAAAAATTGTTTTAGAATTATTATTGAAATATGTATTTATTTTAAATAATAAAATCTTTTCTAATAATTATGATAATTTTTATTATCTGGCAATTATTTCCATAAACATTCTAAATCTGAGTTGTTAGTTTGGCAATTTTGCAAAATCTAATACACAAAGAATTGATATCAACAATAAAATACCATAATGGGTTCAAATTTAAATAAATCTTATTTTATTTTTTTGTCGCTTTTCTCAATCAGATTTAATCATAGTGAGTTACAACTTTTTTTTAAAAACATTTTATTAAGTAGACATAAAAAATTTGAAAAATTCTCTTTCTAATTTGGCTAACAAATGCTCAAACCCTTTCCAATTAGGAGATCAGATTTCAAGAATTCAAGCTACTCCTCAGACCAAAACGAAAACTCATTCAAGAAGTGGGTTATTATTATAAAGAGACCTCAAGATGAGCAAGTAGAGCTTTCCTTCATGTAATCCCACATTCATCATGCTATATTTCGTGATCCAAATGGTAAAATTCTCATCTATAGTTGACTCCTTCCATCTATAATGACTCACTACTTTAAACTCAAGTGAACAAGCAAGCATAATTAATTCTCTACAACTCTTTTCACTTTCTTTAACAAAATATGGAAGATCATATACTAAGGTTTTAATCATTATCTGAAGTTTACAGGCCTTTAAAATGAGGAATATTGAGCCAATAGGCTCCTACAATATGATGTCAAGTAGTTAAATACGTGTTGTCAGGTAGAAGTCTTCATGTATGTTCAAGTATGATTAAGCAATATACCATTCAATAAATCATCCTACAAGGTAGTGAATACATCTTCTGCTCCTAAGACCCAGATGAGGGTATTCGACACAATCTCAAAGGAAAAGGTGTATCCTAGAGGAAGACTCTAACCTAAGGTAGCATCAAAAGAAATCTTATTTTTCTTGCCCTAATTTTTGTATTCTTATTGTAAAATACCTATATTATTTTACATAAACAAATAAATAGGTATTATTAAAATATAAGAAACTATAATTTATATTATATCATAATTACTTTATTAAATAACATAAAAAAAATGATAAAAATTGTCGATATATAATTGTCGTCAATTTCACTCTTCAAATTACTAAAATTAATCTCAAAAAGACTTTTAGTTACTTATTCATAATTTAATCCTAATTGTATAATATTCTTAATACATTTTTCTAACTTTTAAGATATATTTTATTTATACTTATATTGTTTTATAAAAGTTGGAAAACTTACAATTTGAAATATCAATATTTTTATTACTAATGATATGTTTTGTGAATAATTTTATAGTTTTATTAAAATTTTAATTTAAAAAAAATACAAATCTATAATTTATATCCTCTAATGATATATTAATTTATAGTTCTTGCTTAATCTATAAGTCTTAATACTCATAAATTACAAATCTATATTTTTATCTTTTCATATTTAATTACTTTATATTCTTTATTTTCTAAATGTTGTAAAACTATTAAACAAAAAATCTTTATTTTTATCCTTTAATGATTTATTTATTTAAACTTCTTTTTTTTCTTTAGGTTTAATACTAATAAATTGCAAATCTATATTTTTATCATTTAATGATACATTTTATTTAGATTTCCTTTCGTTCTTTAAGTTTTAATACTCTTAAACTAAAAATAAACAACATTTTTTCTCTTATAATTCTATATTTTTTTTAAAGTTAACTATTTCTTGTTTTTATTTCTAAGTGTTAACTCATAAATTAGATTAACATTTTTTTACCTCTAATTATATATTTGAAATATTTTATACACTTAAATGATATATTTTGTTTATATATATTATTTAAAAAAACTTACAATAATAATAAAGAAATACAATAATACGATTTTAATAATCTAGTACAAAACTTTGATTCTAATAATTAAACTTTTTATAAAATCTTAATCTCATTTTGATTATGTGAATTATATATATATAAAATTCTAACTATTCTATATTTACGAAAACAATTTTAATCTGTAATCTATTTTTGATTCATACTAAAAGTATAAATTAAATATCAATGATAGATTTAACGTAATAAAAATAATAATGCAATAGTGATATCAATTACGTGTTAAAAATAAACAATAAGAAGAATATAAAATTCACAAGTAATGAATAACTAAATTGACATCAAAAACTTAAACGATAGAGAATGGAAACAATCTGATCATAATATAATTTAAGTAAATGCAAAATAAAATTATATATTAAATACCTTTACTAAATATAATTTTATAGGTTCTTATTATATTTAGCATATGATTTAAGAGAGATACTTGAAATGTTTAATTTTTATGGTTTTTTAGAGATTTTTGACTAAATTTTTAATATCATCTAAATGTTTGATCAATTTTAGCTATTTTGATATATTATAAAGTATACACAAACCTATCAGTCTATTTATCACAATATTTATAGAGTTATATCAAATTGAAGAAATGCAAACAAGTTTTTATTTGAAAGAATGTGAAATATAAAATAATTAAAAATGTACAGCTATATAGATTCCATCTATATTTAGTTTTTTATTTTACATACATTTATTTAGTTCATAAAATTATTAAATTTACTTAATTAATTATAAATAATGAATTATATGCGGGATAATTACGCAAGTGCAAAAAATGATGTACCTATCTTGATAGATTATGGATCATCGACAATCAAAGCAGTAATGGCATTGTTTTATTGAAAGGGCTATGCAACATCATAAGCTCCGGATGTAGTGATTCGCAGCTATATCAATAAATTTAAGGATTCTAATACACAATCAAACCAGATAGCATAATGGGATACAGATGTGTTTAAGAATTACAGATCTCCATTTGAGAAGAATCTTATTCAACATTCTGGTGCATTAGAATAATTAAATGATTTTGTGTTTGAAAGATTATAGGCTGGAAGACATGGGAGAGTGAATCATCCAATGATATTAACAGAATGCTTTGCTACTACTGATTTAGCAAGAATGATAGTGTTAGAGCAAATGTTTGAATGTTATTAGGTGCCAAGTGTGATGTTAGGAGTGGATGCATTATTTTCTGTATTTCAGGATGATTTGGAGGCTTATTTAAAATAAACATAACTAATAGTTCATCTTGGTGATCAAACTGTCCATGTAGTACCAATTGTTAATGGTCAAGTGATATATTCAAATATCAAAAGACTGAATTTGGGAGGTTTAAACAGTTTGAAATACTTTTATTAAACAATCTAATTGAGACATCCACATTTGAAATTTACATATGGTTAAATGGATTATTGGCATAAATAATATACTAGTGTGGCTATAGATTATCAACTCTAATTGAGTTATTTCTAGGGACCATAATAATATTATGGATATAGAGATAAAATATCTGAATAAAATAGATTTTATGATGATTAATTGTAATTTTTAGATCCAATATATATTGATATACCTATTGTATAGAAAATTGTAAGTGCAGAAGATTTAAAGAGAAAGGATGAAAATAGATAAAGAATGAGAGTTAGATTATAGGAATCTATATAATAAAGTAGATAAAACAAGAAGTCTTAATTAGAATAACAATTATTGTCATTATA